GGAACTACTTAAGATCTGTAACTATAACAAAAAAGAGATAAAGAAAAAGATAAAGATATAAAAAAAAGATTCTCCATAATTATGCAGAGGACAAAACAATGAAATCTGGTAACAAGATGAAATGAGGAAAAAAAACATGGGCAAGCATATCTGTGGGGAAAATTGCTAAGCCAGTAAATAAGGTGAAAAAGACATGGCTATTGAAACCCATAATTCAACAAAATGGAACTACTCAAGTGTGGAAGTGTTTACATCATAAAATTTATGCCATGCTATATACAGACTATGCAAATGAACTGACTTGACATTTCTATTGGAATGGTAACTTATGAGTTTCTTTTAGGATTTGAAGCAACTCAAGGCTGTCCCAATAAGACTTTTTTAGTTTCAAATATACAGTTACTATATGTCATTTTTGTAATATTACTAATAGGCAGAATTTGAAATGTATTACTAACATTAACTTTTTCCATCAATATTTTAAAAAGGAACCAAACTCATCAAGTTATACCAGCTTTTAACTGCAAGCATAACTGCAGTCAATAGTACTGATACCATGGACTATGTACCATTCCAAGGTTAACTAGGTAATTATTTTTATCTTCAGTGATTGAGTGACTACTTAAACTTAGGAACAAAGTACTGAGACAGCATAATTTTTCAGGTTTCCATGCTGCTGACCTTCACAGAATACAGATGTCCGAAAAACAATATGCAAGTTCCAAAATTCTGCTTTTCTTGGGCAGAATTCAAACATGAAATCCAATAAAGTACTTACAAATCCCAAAGGACAAAGAAATAATTGCTGTACAGATCAAAAGGTTCCCAACCAACTAGAAAGGATGGCAGGTTAGGAGAGTTTTTCCAGATGAAACAGGATCATAGGAAAGTAGCCCCTTGCTCAAGGCATGATCATCATCCTTGACTAAACCATCCCAGCCAACTGTCTGTCTAACCTGCTTTTGAAAATTTCCAAGCATAGAGAATCCACAACTTCTCTCAGTAAATGCGGCAGGACAACTTATATTTCAAACAAAACTGCCTAGTTACAAAACATTAATTTTATTTTTAGGCCATCTTGAAAGAATGTTTTAATTAAATGGAGAAACTACAGTATACAAATTATAGCATAATGAGATTACATTACATTACACTGGGGGGAGGGTCTATTATGTGCAATACCTGGATCTGAATTCAATTTAGTTGAGTTATTGTCTCATTCCATCCTGTAAATGCCAGAAAAGTGACATAATCATATGTATTCTGACTAAAGTACAGTACAGTACAAAGCATGACTCAAACCAGATAAAGAATTTACCAAAATGGTGGACTGCATGTTTATTCTGAAAGTAAGTGGGAATAAGGCACAAAGTGACCATTGATTTTCATCCTCAAGTAGTGTCAATATACCCACTTCTCTCAAATGCAAGCTAGAAGCTTCTTCAACTGACTGTAAATAACTCAGTTTCACTCACTGCTGGACAAGGATTTTTTCTAGTTTAGAGGGACAGCAAAACTAGGTGAGTTTTTGTTTTCCTGTTTTTTTTAAACCTCTCCTTGTAAAAAAAATCTGTTGACAATCTGGAGCTATTTTAAAAACTTCAAATACAAAAAAAAAATCACATTTGGCTCAAAAAGAATCAATAAATCTTTTGATAGCAAAAGCTTCCAATCTTTGCTGTTATCCTTCATAACAAAACAAGCAAAAATGCCCACACAGAGATGCAAACATTGCAATATCTAATGCAATCTTTGCCTCACAGTACAACAATTATCTCAAAATCACAGATTAATGTAACCTTCTGAACTAATTTTTTCTTCTTCAACATAGTCCAATCTAAGGCAATAATTATATGACCAGCCAACAACGCGTGCATAAAGGAGAAACATGCTCCTTGTAAACATGCAACTCAAGCTGGAACAGTGCTTGTGACAGAATATTTCTACTAACAGCAATTAGCATTTGTTTTTCACTTTTCAACAGTATCCAAATATTTTAAAATCAAATACTGCTACAGTTAAATAAGACATCTAAAAATTATAAACACCACAGACATTTTTCAGAATATTATAGTTAAGCAAACATTCAGAAGAGAATTAAAAATATATATTTTTCCAAGTAGTGTAACTTTGGTTTCACTGATGGAAAGCATAAAATTATCTCATTTGTAATGTGTAAACAACAATTTGCCTAAATTAGTGAAATATATATCTTTCGTAATGCAGCTGTATGATTTCACAGTGTAAAGTAAAAATGTACTGTGCAGATGACCTACAAAGATAACTCGTTAATCATGTTTGAACTTTTTTATATGTATTTTATGAAATATACAATAGATTCTGCATTATTTTTATAACCAATTTCAGATTTTTAATGATTCCAACTATATATTTTAAAAGGAAAAATGATCATACATATTATTTATAAACAAAAAATGAATTCTTTGGTTTAGAGCAAATTTTAATAATCCAAGAAAAATAACAAAGGTTGTGCAATGTTAGTAAAACGATAAAGCAAAATACTAAGATTTTTTCCCCTCAGAATGCAGTACAGAACAGTGGTTACAGCACAGGGCCAAGCATTAGGTGACTGGCATTCTTGGCCTGTGATTCACAGTGACAATACAGGTAAGACTACTCTTACCCTGTTTTAGGTCTGGGTCCCTCAAAAAAAAAATCAAAGGAGGAAAGTTAAGTATATGAGAGTTTGCAGGACTGGAGACACATGACTTGGCCACACATTCATTTGTAGCACCACAACGTGCCTCAACACTTTCAGTTACAGAATTAGAGCACTAATGGAGGTGTACACATGTTCAGAGCCCCACTAGCTGGAGCACTGCAGTCACTGGAAAGCACGCTCTCCAGCCAGGGAGTGATAGGGGGCTGCTCCTTTTCTCCCCTGCTCCCAGAGGGAGCATGTCAGTGACCTGCTCACTGGCAGCCTGCCCTCTGCCACGCCAGGGAAGTGGGACCATGCAGGATGTCAGTAATGAGATATTCTGATCTCCAGATATACTGTATATCAGTAAACAAACACAAAAACCATAAAACAATTGGGGAACGGGGCTTCCAAGTGTCATGCATCTCTAAAACACTCACACATTTGGCAGCACTGTCTGCATTCCTGCACACCAGCTGTGATGTTAGTTTTGGCGCATGCTCTAGGGATGGCCAGGAAGCTACTTTACCTCTTCTTTTGCTGTTCCCCCTGCAGCAACTGAGAGGGGAAGAAGCAGCCAGCATCAATAGAAATATCAGTAGCCAGGTCCCACTTTCCCCAAATACAATCAACCAACCCTTCTACTCTCAGCAACTCCAAACATCCTCCTATGTGGTCAAGACAATCTTTGTGCACCTCCATGCTCTATTTCTAACACTAGTTGAGACAGAATGGAGTATTAGGAAACTATGAATAATACTGACTATAGAAATAAGTCTTCTGTTCAAAAACAGGTATATGTTCTTGCTGTAACGTGTCTCAACCTTCATTCTCCACAGTTACTCCATATTTTGTTTTTTTGCAGATATGGACAATAACACAAAGCACAAATGCCTTTAAAACAGAGATGATGGGCATTTGTACACATGCATGCGCCACAGCACTGGGTGCTTTTAAAAGTGCCTGGCACTGCGGTTCATACATTTGTATAAATGGCAAAATGCACGTCAGCACTGAGATTTCATGAAAATCTGATTCCAAGTTATTTATGATTTTCAAGAACCCTGTCCTTGCAAATGAATTTTAGAAGGGCATGACATTCACACACTCTGAAAATTACTTGTTTAAGAAACGAAAGCATAGATCCTGAGAAATTTTTGGCATTGGTCACCAAAATCATAAATAACTTGGAATCAGATTTTCATAGCAGAATTATCTTTACTGAGAGCTAGGTATCTAACTTGCCTCTACACTACTTACTCTAAAGCAGCAGTTCCCAACGTGGTGCGTGCGGGTGCCATGACGCCCCCCCGGAAGTTTATTTAGGTGCCCATGTGCATTTTCACAATCAGTAAAAATCATTATTCCAACAAAAAAATGCTGTAACTGCCAAGTGAATTCAGAACATCAACACTTAAAATTTTTTTTCACAGGCTGTACACAACAGCCACCAAAATGAAACTGAGTCAGTCTGACTGACACAGTGACAGAGTGGCACTTACTACTCCCTTCCCAAACAAAAATATGTGCATGTGCATATCCAGGATTCTAAATTCTAAACTTTAATATTCATATTGGCACTCACTGCTTTTTGTTTTAAATTCGAATGTGCCCTTGGGCACATAAACGTTGGGAACCCCTCCTCTAAAGCATTAGAAGAAAGTGTACCATCATGATTGGTCATATCTGAGGTACAGGGGTACTAATTAAATAATGAACATGCAATAAAAGGACACCACTCCATGATGACTGAATCCATATGCACCCATTAAGGGAAAGGAAAATGCATTTAATTCATGCCTAATATATAATCATAGGGGAAAAAGTGAGTTTCTCCGTCTGAACACTACATCAAATGCACTTTCCCTTTTAATTCTGTTAATTAAATATTCATAATATTAAGAAGTAGTTAAAAAAGAACAGTGAACTATGAATGTTTAATACACGAGTCCTGTAATAACAGAGGAAAGAGACATAAAAGGGTCTAGGAAATCAGGCACTGTAAAGGACTTGATCACCCTCTGTGAGTTAGATCAGTGCTTCTCCACCTTTTTTTGGACGAGGACCCACTTGTAAATATCAATGACCAGTCCCAAACCTGTAAAAAGTTTAAATAAAAAAACAGACCTCCAGCCCTGCCACTAACCCTCACTCCCAACCCACAGTCCCCTCCCCCAAGTGTGTGGGGCAGGGGGGATGTGAGGCATGGGGGGGCACTTGCCTCCCCCCAGATTTGTGCACCCACAGTGGGCACGGGGCTGCAGCCTGGCTAGACTGACATGGGAGGAGTAGCTTCCGTGGCCCAGTGGGTGGAACTCGGTATGGGAGGGCGGAGCAGGGAGGCAAGACTCATTGCTGCCACTGCCACCAGAAACCCTGTGCCAGCCACACCACCAGCAGTGTAAGGAGTAATGGAACGGGGAAGGGGGACTTGTGCTGTCCTCACCTCCTTCTGTTGCCAGCCACTCATGCCGGACTGCCCCGCCACCATGGCCCAGCCACCACCACTGCTCCCCTCAGGCCACAGCTCTATCCTAGAGAGAAGGAAGGGTGGCATACAGTTTTGACCATGCCTCCCCTGCCCCCTGATGTGTTGTCTATGCCCTGCTCCTTCCTATCCCATTCCCCCCACAGACTTACCTGTGGTGAGCTACAGGAGCTGCTCTCCATGCTGCCTGGCTGCCACATGCATGTGTGCATGCACACATGCATGTGGCGCTCCTTGCCTGACTGCCATCCTCCCACTTCCCCCAGCCCCAAGCAGCCTCTCACAAAACTATATTTTCCCCCAAACTTCTTGTATTGTGTGTGTGTGTGTGTGTGTGTGTGAGAGAGAGAGAGAGAGAGAAAAGAACATTAGGAAAGGGATGTTTATAGTGAAATGGTATGCTTTATGTGATACAATAGTTATTAATATTACCTTTTCAATTCAATTGTTTGAATATTACACCTTGAATAAATATTTTACCCCAGTCAAGTTCTTTAGACTAATATTTCAGTCTTGGAAAAAAATTCTTAATAATTGCCTTTACTGTTTGAGGAGATTTTGTTTCTTTGTTTGTTTTATGTATTTTGGTTTTAATGCCATCCTAGACCTCATGCACAAGAATTCAGGTCCAAATACTATTCTATACCAGGTTGGTCAATCCCTGCTACCTAAGCTTTGTATTATCTATATTAGCTCTAAAGCTACTGAAGTGAATGCTACAATCACTTATAATTACATTTTATATCCATGATCTTATTGAAAATCTTCCTTTAGATTAATTATGCTCTAACAATTTTCTGAGGATTTCAATTAAAATGTTCATGTTTGAAATAAAATTATTGTAAATGTCTATCTGTAGGTACAGTCTCCTGCTGCCTATTGATCCTTCTATTTTATTTGATCTTAACAGTTTGAAGAAGCATAACTACTGTGTGGCACTGGTCAGGCCACAGTTGGAGTACTGCGTCCAGTTCTGGGTGCTGCACTTCAAGAGGGATGTGGACAACATGGAGAGGGTCCAGAGGAGGGCCACTCACATGATCAGGGGGCAGCAGGGCAGGCCCTATGAGGAGAGGCTATGGGACCTGAAACTGTTCAGCCTCCACAAGAGAAGGCTGAGGGGGGATCTAGTGGCCTCTTACAAACTAGTCAGAGGGGACCAGCGGGCATTGGGGAAGTCCCTGTTCCCCCCAAGCACTACCAGGAGCGACCAGGAATAACGGTCACAAGCTGGCAGAGGGTAGATTTAGGCTAGATATCAGGAGGCACTACTTTACGGTCAGGGCGGCTAGGATCTGGAACCAACTTCCAAGAGAGGTGGTGCTGGCTCCTACCCTGGGGGTCTTTAAGAGGAGGCTAGATGTACACCTTGCTGGGGTCGTTTGACCCCAGTACTCTTTCCTGCCATGGCAGGGGATCGGACTCGATGATCTGCTCAGGTCCCTTCCGACCCTAGAAACTATGAAACTACCACGTTTTGGGCTAAGTCCCTAGCTGCTGCTCATGCAGAGAGGTCTGATGGACACAACTGTTTCTGCTGCTGCTAAAGCAGCACTGAAGATTCCCTGCACTCAGTTTCTGAGGCTACAGCTGCAGCAACAGGGCTGCTACTCATGCAGCACCATGCACTCCTCAAGAAGCCACCATTCTAGTGGCCCCTCTAAGTGAAAGCTTAGAGCTGGTGCCCACTCACCCACCCCCAAGTTAAGCTACTGATGGTTTGTGTAGCAATTAAAAAAAAACAAAACAGAACTGCAGAGACTAGACTGATCTTCCTCTAGTATTAGAAACTGCTAGAGCCATTAAGATGAACATTGTGGCTTAACTCATGTACCTCATGTGTTTCATTTGTATGTTGCAACTTCTTGTCTAATGTATGTTGAAAGTACATTTCAGTAGAGTTCTATGTTGCAACTCTATTTCATCCTTTGCTAGAGAACTTTATTTTTGCCTCACTAGATGTATTCATCACTAGTTTCTTTGAAAACAAATATTCATTTCAATTTAAGAATCATAGACATTATCTTCAAATTCCCCATTCTACTCAGAAGTTAAGGCTGTCCCAAATATTATTTCTATGTGGCTGAACAATGATAGTAAGAAGGAGATTTTAAGCTTCATAAAAATGCAGTAACATTGGGTAATAAGACTGGCTCTGTTATCTGGTCCTAAGTACACAGTGGGCACATCTACACAAGATGCTGACCACACAGTAGCCCAAAACTATTGCGCAGTGGTGTCGCATGGCAAAAACTGGAACATGACACTACTGTGCAGTAGTATTAAGCTACTGAGCAGCAGCATCACAAAAAAGACATTTGCTGGTGCTGCTGCACAGTAACTTGAGTTACTGCTCATTTATTTAGAACATGTTTACAAGAGTACTAAATAAATGCGCAGTGATAACTGTGCAGTAGCGTCTTATGTAGACGCGCCCAATCTGTATATACAGTCAGTCTATCATAGAATCATAGAAGTAGGGTCAGAAGGGACCTTGTAGATCTTCAAGTCCGACCCCCCACCTGGGTGGGAGAAAAAACTGGACTCAAGTGAGTCCAGCCAGGTAGGCATCAAGCCTCTTCTTAAAGATCCCCAGGGTAGGAGCCAGCACCACTTCCCTAGGAAGTTGGTTCCAGATCCTAGCCGCCCTAACTGTGAAGTAGTTCTTGCGGATGTCTAATCTAAACCTACTCTCCAATAATTTGTGTCCATTGTTCCTTGTCATGCCAGGGGGCGCTAGGGGAAACAGCGTCTCTCCCAAACCCTTCTGGTCCCCCCTAGTGAGTTTATAGACAGTCACCAGGTCCCCCCTCAGCCTTCTCTTCTGAAGGCTGAACAGGTTAAGGTCCCACAGTCTTTCAATGTAGGGTCTGCCCTGTTGTCCCCAGATCATGTGGGTGGCCCTCCTCTGGACCCTTTCAATGTCGTTCACATCCCTCCTGAAATGGGACGCACAGAACTTGATGCAGTACTCCAGCTGTAGCCTGACCAGGGTTGCATAGAGGGAGAGGATCACCTCCCTGGCTCTACTTGAGATGCACCTGTGGATGCACAACAAGGTCCG